TTTATATGTGTAAAGGGTTTACCTGTATTGTCCTTTGTTTAAAAACAACTTGTCTCAAATAGCACCATGAAGGATGAACATTCTGAATTGAATGTGGGTGAATGAACACGTTTAGCCTCAGAAAGCGTGTAGTGGACTGCTGGACGAGCGGCTGTGGCTCAAGTAGTCCTCTAATCACAGGGTCGGTGGTTCCATCCCCTCCACAGCTGAAGTGTCCTTGGGCAAGACACTGAACCCGAAGTTGCTCCCACTGGCAGGCAGCACCTTGCATGGCAGCTCTGTCTCCATTGGTGTGTGAATGGGTGAATGAGAAACACATTGTAAAGCGCTCTGAGTACCACTAAGGTAGAAAGGAGATGTGTAAGTGCAGAGCATTTACTAAACAGTCACAAAACCCCTTAATAACAGGAGGATCTACAGATAATGCTTCATAAAGGTGATCTATTAGTGTTGACTTGATCCCAGATCTGATCAGAGTCTCTCTCATCGGATTGGTTGTTAGTAGCAGAATATCCGTACCGATGACCTCTATTCAGTGGATTGTGTTCATTCATAATAATCCAGATCATGATGATGGATGTCATTTTTGTATCATGATCTGGACAAACAGGTAAGAATAAAAAATTGTTTTTGTTTTTTTTTACTATGTATGTCTTTCATATTTTCAGTGCAAGCTTGTTCCCTTCAGATGAAGGAGTGGTCTTCACACAGTGGACCCACTTCAGGCTTTATTAATGACGGACCTCATGGGGAGGCGGGTCCTCGTCCTGGTCCCCACCTCACGACTACAACACAAGGACCACCAACCGGCAGAAACGAGGAGGAGTTTATTCTGGTTGCCAGGAGATGGAGCAGAGGGGCTACGCCAAGTTACCCCCATTAACCCGGAAATGCACAACTTGTCCTTCAAAGTAGAGGTAAACTCGAGACGTGTTGATTGAACAAAAACAAAATAAAAGCAAAGTAAAGGTTTCGTTAACGTAGTTTTGGACAAGAACAAACAGGATATCAGCCTGAAAGCTTGCCACTGCCCGTTGTCTTTTGTCCTAGATTGATATAATAA